TGCTAGCATAAGGATGATACCTGGTCGATATAGAACCGATATCTTTCTACTGTTGGCCGACATCGCACCGCTATTGTTTTGATGTAGGCCCGATGTCGGCTAGAAATATCGGGCCTATATCGTTAAGATGTCGGCCCGATATTGTGCTGCCGATGTCGGGCCAACATCATTCCTATTTGCAGCCGATGTTTAAGCCGACATCGGGCCGTCATAGAAAACCATATCGGTTTGATGTCGGGCCGATATAGAATGTTGGCTGGGATAATGTCTCCCAATACAATTACACATCAGTGGCATTATTTACTTGATTATGATTCAGTAATACTTTTTACTGAGACATACTTTATTTTCCTTTGCTTGTCAAATATATACATTCGTTATACATTATTAAAGATTACACACTCTGTTTCTATTTACATTTAAACCATATTATTTATAAAACTACTCTCAATCCATATTTAGTTCAAGGTTATTATGATAAATTGCCGACCCGGGTTTCCAACTGTGGTTTCCCAGTGTACTACAAATTGTCCTGTATTGAATTTGTTTATTGCAGATCGACTCACTGTTATATTGTCAAGTATAATCAGTCCGCTTAACCTTCCACAATATAATTATAGTATTTGTGATGTTTTTCTGTCTTAATCTTTTCCGAAATACTTTAATTTCAGTAAAATAAATTTTGGTTAAACTTTTGTTCTATCAGAAAAAATATCCTAAAATCAATCACTCAATCTATAAATCTAAATCAATCATCAACTTAGTTATGATATATTTCAATGGCTAAAAATTACGCAACCCTTTTTATTTCTGTTGATTTTTTTTATACCTTTGTATCATATTGAAGACAGTCAAGTTTATATAAACACATCAGAAAAAGATGATATAGAATAAAATCTTACCTGATAGTTTATGTCGAAGTTATATGACGCATAATGGTATAAAAAAACTTGGAAAGTCGCCAAGACTGGTTTTCCAAATATGTTTTGTCAAAACATGTACAAATATGTTTTGCTTGGATGTATCTATAGGTACAATATTGATTATCATAAACTTGCTAAAGTCCAAATATGGAGTAACCAAGCTTTAAATCTTGGCTAAACCATTCATGTGTTAAGGGATTTCAGTATCAAACTTAATACAAATAGCTATGAAAGTATATAACCTTGCCAGTCTGCAAGGACGTGTAAGTGGCATAGGTATATACTTACTTGCCTAATACGTTTCCAAAAGTCATTTAAATATGATCATTTCAAACATTTAACATTAATAAACAAGTAAAACAGCTGGATATTGTAGAAATTTATATGACTGGTATGTCCGCACATATATCATGTGTTGAATGTGGTCCTTCCGCCAAAATCCATATTTAAGGTTGTTAGATTGTTATCAATCTTTCATTATAAACTTTTCGGGTATTTTGAAATTAAAAAAAAAATACATACAAAATTCTCCTTTTGTAAACCAAAACTAAAAATAGAATATCATTACTTTTTTTTCTTTCAAGACCGTAACACTTTATTGCTACTATTGTAAAACATTGTTAGGGGAGACTATTGCGGTTACAGTACGAACAAACAGGACAGAACATACATATTTTATAGTGCAACAGAATGGTATAAAATGCCAATAATAACCTTTTTCGTTCAGTCTTCCGGTATTCTTTAAAAACGCGCAATAAATGAATTTGTTTTATCACAACATGCACTAACAAGACGGCAGTTATTACACATGTTGGTTAAAATATCGACAATAGATGGAAAACTAGTTGTTGTACGTGCCTGTTTCTAATGACAATTGAAAAAGTGATAATAATAACTCCCTCGTCTTGAGGTCTGAAGACCTTCAATGATATTATCTATTTTTGATTGGTGTTTATATGAATTTGTTATAATTTTCAAGCATATTACAGTAATAATTTTACCAATTCTTTTTTCCCTTTGCATGTCAAATATACATTCGTTATTATACATTATCACATATTGCACCCTCTGTTTATATTTACATCTAGAACTACATTAAATATTGTTATAGAACTACTTTTTATCCGAAATTAGTTGAGGTTATTATCATGATTGATAGCCGGGTGTTCCGATTGGCCCTTTACACTACATAACAAGGAGTTTCCAAATGTTATTTTCCAATGTACTACATGTACGAAATGGTCCTGTTTTGAATTTGTTTATTACGGATCTACTTAATGTTATATTGTCAAATGTAAATTAATAAGTCCGCTTTACCTTGCACAACATATAACATTTTTTTTTTTTTTTTTTTTTTTTTTAAAAGAAAAACCAACATCTATTTGTTAACGTATTGTTCCAACAGACTTATTATCGTAAAATCAATCTATCAATCTATTGACCAATTATCAACTTAGTTACAATGGCTTAAATTTACCTAACCCTTTTCATTTCTGTTGACATTTTTTACCTTTGAATTATAATGAAGACATTCATGTTTATAAAAACTAACCAGAAAAAGATAATATAGAAGAAAATCTTACCTGATACTTTATGTCAAAGCTTCTTGTAAAATTCTACAATCAATGACGCATAATGGTATCAAAACTTGGACAATATCGCCAAAACTGGGTTTCCAAATATGTTTTGCATGGATCTATTTATAGGAACAGTATTGATTATCCTCAACCAAGCCTTGAAATAGCTATAACAGTATATAAACTTGCCAGTATGTAAGGACGTGCAAATGGCCTAGATATATACTGGGTTTAACAGGTAATTGGCCTAATAAATTTTGAAGAAAAAAAATGTGATAAACAAGATAAACAAGGAAAGGCGGAGTTAATCTAAATATGATCATTTCAAACATTTTACATTAATAAACAATTAAAACAACATTCCTGTGGCTGGTATGTCCGCCCATGTTTCATGTGTTGTATGTGGTCCTGCCGTCAATATCAATATTTAAGGTTGTTAGATTGTTATCAATCCTTCTTTACAAACTTTTTGTGTGTATATTTAAATTAAAAAAATACATACAAAATTCCCCTGTTGTAAACCAAAACTAAAAATAGAAATATCGTAACTACCTCACCATTTTATAGATCAATGGTAAAGCAGAAGATTGCGAACAGAACAGACACATTTTAAAGTGCAACAGAATGGTATTAAATTCTAATAGTAACCTTATCTTTTCAGTCAATCTGTGTTCTTAACAACCGCGCAGTGAATTATTTTGTTTGTATATTCTCTTATATAATTCTTATTAAACCACAACATGTACTATAAAGACGAAAGTTATTACAAACTTTGGTTAAAATATCGACAATAAATGGAAAACGAGTTTTTGTGTCAACCTGTTCCTAATGATATTTGTTATTGTGAAAATACTAATCCCCCGTCTGGAGGTCTGCAGACCTTCAATGATATATTCTATCTTTTTTATTGTGATTTATATTCTATCATCTTCCAAGGCAGCTTTCACAAAAGAATTTTTCAAAGCAAATCATTTGATATAATTTTTCTTCCGTTCGTTTCATGTTATATATATATATATATAATATAAATAATGGAACCAAATTAAAAAATCAAGAATGACCGTAAAATTTGTCAGATAATTACCAAACATGAAATGTGTATCAATATTAAAAATCAAACATCAGATAAGTGTTTAAATTTTATTTAGGTTTACACATTTTTGTAATCTTTTTTTCAACTGAAGACATTTTTTCTACGTTTGAATTAACCCTATGGCAGAGTAAAAGAAGTGATTCAAAGAGTTAAAAAAAAACAACTTGGAGTATTTGTACCAATATCCGCGATGCAGACACGTAATAATCTTTTGTTATATATCCGCACATTCAGGGCTCAGCGACTTTATGGCTTCATCATGCTAGTACGTAATGAAAAGGCTTCGTTTCCGACAAAGAAATAAAGTATGTCTTCATTTTCAACAGGCAGTGCATGGTTCCAGTTGACAAAAAAAACTTTGGTACCACAAGTTAAGCACTTCTTAAGCTTGCTGTTATTTTCCACTAACTTCTGCCAAAAGTCATCAACAACTAGAGCTAGCAAAACCATAAAGTGGACAACGGCAGGCTACATATAGCCATCAAGCGATCAATTTATTGTTAAATCGATTTGCTTCTTCAACCCAACTATCAGATCTTATTAGACAGAATTGGACACACTGATGCCGACGATATCTGTAGAACGTGTGCTATTTGGTAATTCTTACCCGATCCTTTGCAAAAATCATCATTCAACAGTTTTGTTGGCATTCCATGAAGTTTTATAATGCTGCATTCAAATTTGTCTTTCTTTGTTCTAGCTAACGGAACGTCGGTGGTTCTACTCAGGTACCCGTTCGTGCCTGAAATAATGCACGGAAGGGCACTTGATGTCTTCCTCCTCCAGTAACGCTGAAACGTCGCCATAAGACATATACCGTGTCGGTGTGACGTAAGACCAAATAAAAGCAAACAAACTTTCTTTGTTTGGCAGCTCAGCTTCCGTTTATTCTTTACCTGGATTCTTCTCTCTATTAAAAGGCAGATCCAGTTTTGTCGCATTATATCATATCACAGATAGTTGTCGATGTGTAAGCGGAGGATAAAGCTATCACAACAGTTCAGATTTGTTGGCGGTTCGTTAACCTGTTCAGCCGGAACGGTGTTTTTGAGAACTTTCATCAGAATTGCAATGGAACCGTAATATTTCGAAACGGATACGACGAGTTATCTAAACAAAGACTCGTTGCGAGTTATATATGTTACCTATAGCTTTATGAACTTTTACCGAACATATATATATCACTGACTTTATCCAAATCCTTTTTTATATTAAATATAGACCATTAACCGGCTTAAGGCTTTCCGACTCTAATAATCTTCGTCTTATTACGCCTTATTTCGTACATTGTCGGGATTCCGCGCTTTGCCGAGTACCGGCGTAAACTAGATATAACCGGTCCCGGCTCCGCTGTATGAAAGACGTAAATATCGGGAACCAGGCGGTAGCCTCGTTTTCAAAAGGAGAATGGCTGCGCCCGTGAGAGATAAGTACGGACGATTTTTTAAGTTAAAACGGGGTGTTTGTGAAAAATTACGGACTAATAGAAATATTATAGAAGACCACAACTACGTCGTGGGTAATCCGAACACTTCGGGTGACATTAATATTCCAGGAATACCGGAACAAAGGAAAACAAACAAATTTTTCAACAACAAGTGGAGGGAAGGTAGACGTGTGGTTGAATTTGGTGTTTTATTGGATAATCTAAAAGTCTGTAAAGAATGTGGGTTAGGGCCTGTGCCTCTTACTGCATATAATGTTATCGGTGAGCAGAAGAAAGGACTGTCAGGGTTTTTGTACGTGATATGTCAAAATGTGGACTGTGCAGCTGTGAACCGTGTGACATACGGGAAAACACACCGAAACAAACAAAAAGGCATGCCATGTTTTGCTGCAAATACTAAACTTGGGACAGGTATGCTTATTTTTATGATACATGCATCATTTTATTGAAATGAATATGGAATGAAATTTATTATGAAAAATTAGAGAGATTGACTATGCCTATTAAACTTAAAGATTGACTATGCATTGAAATAATATTGGATTGTTATAATTTGAGTTAAATTAATAAGTGCAGAAGATGTGATTTACTTATTCATTATCCCGCATGTACATACTCAATCAAACAGAGTCTGCAATTCTTTTGTTATTTTGTTGTGATTAATGCTTCCGAGGGATCACTTTGTTTCCAGAGTTTTGTACTTCACAACTGCCGTGTGGCAGCCGTAAAAAGTTGCCATGTACTTCACTTCAGTGTTGCTATATTTTCCTGTCCTTCGGGATCATTGATGCCAACACTGTAATGTGTTGCTCAAGCCGGTGCTAGGGGTCGTGAGGGATGTTGCACTTATTCAGTACCCCTCATGTTCAGACTCAATCAAACCGAGTCTGCAATTCTTATGTTATTTTGTTGTGATTAATGCTTCCGGGGGATCACTTTGTTTCCAGAGTTTTGTACATGTTTATTACTTTTTTTTACATGTCTTTATCATTTTATGTCATGTGAATAAGAGTTAGTCATGTTCACAATTAATTATGACGCGTCACCACAGCATAAAGTAGCTACATTTGTATTTGTTATGTGTGCATATTATTGCTGTTGCATGAGCATAATTATGCATATATTAATCATCACACATCTTAGGTGCACATTGGTATAATAATGTAACCAGTCTTGAAATACAAATATTTAATTGCACAAATTTTATTAAGAAGACTTGATACAAATCCATGTATAATAAAAATTGTTCTTTATTTACAGCAATGATAGATAGTATTGGGGGCCCAGATCGTGTTAACAACATTTTCGCCACAATAAACATCCCAACTATTAGTCACTCCAACTTAAAGGTATGAACTCATATTATTTTTGTAAATTAGTCATAAATCATAATCATTTATTGAAATGTACAAACTGTATTTTGAAGCATTACACAAAACATTTTTTTTATACATGTTGTACTCAAAACAAAACTTTCCCTGATGCATTTTGTAACTAAGTGAAGTCTAGTTTTGCACCTAATAGGTGCTCCAGTGATCACTCTTATTCACATTTTTTAACTAAGCGGTGAAAAATCCAGTGACCACTCATTCCAAATTATTTATTACTTTACAGAAGATGGAAACTCGGGCTGGAGAAACAGTACAGAAGATTTCTGTTAAGTCATCAGCGGCAGCTGCCAAAATGGCCTTCAAGCAGGAAATGGAGTAAGTTTTATTCTGATAAAAAGTAATTTAAATAATTTTAATAATATAATTTTGTTTTTTATTAAACTAATATTAATTACTATTATAGCTGTCTAACGGTCAATAAAAAAATTCACATGTCAATTAAATACCGTCAGTAGTTTGTTAATGTCTGTCAGTCATTGTTCATGACTAATCATAAAAATTCCATTTCATTAACTATCATGTATTTGTATGTTTAGTGAGATTTCACAAAAAGAGACTGATGAGGCAAAGCAGTCTATAGACAGTCTAATTGAAGACCTTGGAATTGGAGCAATGCCAGATGCATCCCCTCATACAAAGTAAAGAAACATATTTATACCATACTTTTTAATCATGTTAGGTTTCTTTTTATATATAAAGTCCCAGTCTGTATAATTTTAGCAAGCATAAAGAATTGACATACCTGCAGTGCATTTTCTTTTATGCATGTCCTGTTACAATGCAGTCAACATAATTTGTGGTAGTGGTATAACAACTTAAGTGATTACTGTAGAAGCAGAGAGTTCGGGTGACAGGGTGCAACTTAACGAATTTCTTAGTTCACTGTTTTATAGACTTTATTTTCCAACATTGGTAAATTCAGTATCGCATTATTTCCAGGGAGGTGCTGCGACAGTCCTGTGCCAGTGCCGAGGCTGACAAAGGTGATGGTAATTGGAGTGATTTAGGCGACACACCCATCAATCAGGAACGAGTTACCAGGTATTTTTTAGATTACTGAAGCATTGGTTTACTAAGAAGTTTTGTAAAGTATGGTATCTCTTACATGTATAATAAACTGCAAATGGCATTACATTTAACTTTTATAGCACTTTACAACTTTATATAAATTTCAGCTTCACACACAATTTAAAATTAGATTGAATGGTTCCCATTTTAACAAAAGTTGCACACAGTTTTAATGCTGCATTATATTTAACCTGACTTCAGAAATGGAGAAATTTTTATACATTTATTAAAGGGACTTCACTTAGGTTTAAAAGCCTAAAAACATTACAGTTGAATTTCTTACATAGATGAGCTGGGGCACTTTAAACAGAAATATATGCAAAGATAGTTAAGAAATATACTATGAAATAAATTGAAAATCGTATTTTAATGATTTTCTCAGCCCGATTGAGTGAAAAGCGTTTTACCGCTTTTCATTTTGGGTAATTTTTTTCAATCTGAAATTTTGCACAAAAATTAGTGGTCTAAACCTACATCAAATCGTAGATTTATCTGGAAAAAATATTTTCAGTCCCATCATGTCAAAATACCTCAGTGGAGTCCCTTTAATTTGTGAATAATTATATTGATTTTTATTTCCAGAAGACAAAATTCCCAACCTGACGGCTGTAGAAAGATCTCTTGTGAAAGAGCCAAAATTCGCCTTCAAGACAAATTTCAGTGTAGGACCAGACTTGGAATGTCCTGTTCAGTTGACACCGCCTGGCAAAAACGTGGATTTGATAGTTTAACCTGTAAGCTTTGTAATGAAATTTCTGCCTTTTTTGTTTAGCCCATAGATAGGAAATATTGAGTTTGTTTGGGTCAAAACGTTGTTATTGGTTGACTGATTTCACTTTTAATTTATATTGTTAAAAAGAAATTTATCTTATTGTACAAAACTTTAGAACTCTGCATGAAATGGTGGCAGCTAGTATTAATAAATATAAATAAAGTTTTCATTTTCTTTCAGCACACACATTCTTCATGTCAAAGTCAAAGTATGGGAAGAAGGTTCTTAAGTCAATTGTATCACACAGGGTTTGTGGAACGTGTAACTGGTGGGCACGCAACCGTAAGGGTCAAGCAGTCAGACCTCACCTGTGTGTTAGAAACCATCGTGGGAGTGCCAAACTGATGGAAAGTGTCAGTGGGGAGAAAGGAGTGCAGGAACTGAAGGATGAAGGAACTCCGATAGAATATGTTGAAGGAGATGGTGACAATACACTCATAGCTAGAGTGAAAAACAATCTAAATATACATCTAAAAAAGAGATTTGACAAAAATCATGTCGTTAAAAATGTTGGAAAACATCTCTTCAGTCTTCATCACTCTAAAAATGTGAAAATCAGTAAAATTACTATCCTCCATCTTCAAAAGTGTTTAAAATATGCTTTTGCAAAAAATGCTGGTGATAAGGATGCTCTGAGAGAAAACTTGAATGCTTTAGTTCCGCATCAATTTGGTGATCACAGTATGTGCCATCCTAGATTCTGTGGGTATAAGCGTTCACCAGAAGACAGGAAGAGTTATGTCCACAGAAGTCTGCCTTACAAGGCTCCATTGAAGGACGAACAACTTCGGGCAGCCTTGGAGGGGATTTTTAAACCTCTTGCCGATAATGCAGAGCAATATGCGGATCTTGGCTCATCACAAGCTTGTGAACATGCCAACAGGGAAGTTTCAATAAGAGCGCCTAAGAGCTTCCATTATGGAAACACTAAGTCTCTTGACTATAGGGTCCACGCTACAGCAGCTTGCATCAATGAAGGAAGACATTACATCGCAGAGGTAATTCAAATAAATGTGTTCTGGTTATTGTGCGTAAATGCACATTTATGAAAAAGTATTTCAAGTTTGCATGTTTATTATTTTTCTTGTTTGCTGATGTAGTGCACCTGAGTTTTTAATCACATACAATATACAAAGCTACACAAAGAATGACCATTGGGCCGAAAATGCAAATACAAATGCTTGCCTATCTGCTATTTTTTATCTGTTTTGGCTGAATTAAATTCTTTGAACACTCATATAGATCTGTCCTGAACTTTTCAGTATTCTAAGTAATCAAAACAATATATCTCAGGTGTGCAAAATGTTGTTTGTTTTTTTTGTTACTGGTGTTTGAGTTTTATGTTCTGTTCTTTTTTACAGTTGTCTCAATTTACAGTTACACGTTCCAGATCTACATGCATTCTGGTCTCAATTTGGACAAAGGATAAGAAAGGTACAACTGATTAAAATTAAAAATTATTTATTTAATACTTTGACAAAGATAAGAAATTTTTGGCTGCTATAACACTCATTTATGGGGTATTTTAAGAGAAAAGTACATTATTTATAAAAAGAAAAATTAAAAAAAATATTGTTCTGTTGTTATATAACTCTTATTATTTCATACTTATTAGACAATAGAGCAAGATAAGGTAATCTGTACTATGTTTTTTCCATAATTGCAGGCAAATGTAGATGCTGGCTTGTCCCCTGGGGTCCACACACTCAAGCATGCTGAGAAGTGCCAGAAAAATCGTGAGCGTGTCCAGGCCAAAATGGAACTTCCCTCAACGAAAAGACGCCGTTTGGAGTTGAAGAAAGAGCGGGCGGTGAACCAGGGTGCCCAGGAGGTGTTGGAAGGAGTCTCTTATCAGTCTGGTTAGTAAAATTTGTGTTCTGGCAGCTGTATCTATATAATATTTTACTAATATAGTATAATAATATATACCATATAGATTTGATCAAGGATGAAAAATAATGTTTATGTTTGCAAGTTTCATTAATTTAAAACTTGATACATTATGACAAATTGTCCGGTAAGACCAGACAAAAATGTTTATCATTTGTGTGATTGATTTTTAGGAATTGGCCATGAGACCAATGCAGATATAGAGGCTATTCCAGCCCCAATACCCAAAGGAGACTTCAAACCTATTCAGCTCACAAACCCGACATTGGTGACGTTTGATCTGGAGACGACAGACCTTAGTAAGAAATAGTTTATGATAATGCAAATGTAAAAGTTTACTACTCTAAAGTGTAAATGAAATAGTTTACTACTCTAGCTTTTATTGGCGGCAACTTAGATGCAGAGTTTTGTTATGTATTTAGTGCTAAGGTGCACAGTTTTGTTATGTATTTATTGCTAACTAGTACTAGCAACTCTTCTAAAACACACATATTGCAATATATTTATTGTCAGTAAATGATATTCACCGAAATGAAACCAAATGATTTTTTTACAGTTCGTGGACATTGCCTGCCACAGATAACGCAGATAGCAGCGTCAGATTTGGCTGGAACCCGTACATTTTCTCAGTATGTTCTACCGACAGAACCCATATCTGCTGGGGCTAGGCAAGTCACTGGCCTCTCAGTTGATGGCGACCGTCTATTACATCTTGGACAACCGGTAGAAGCAACAGATATAAAGTCGGCCCTACAACTATTTACTGCCTGGGTGAAGAAAATTCCAAACTGTGTTCTAGTTGCACACAATGGTAAAAAATTCGATTTTCCGGTAATTGTAAATGCATTGAACTGTGCAGGTGTATATGATATGTTTGTTGACGGAACAAAAGCACTGGTTGATTCTCTTTCACTTTTCCGGAAGGTGATTCCAGGAAGGAAGTCATACAAGCAGGAAGACCTGGTACATGACATTTTGAACACCTCATATGGGGCACATGATGCTGCAGAAGACGTGCACGCTTTGGGCAGTCTTATTTCCCATTTGGACGTTGACAACAAGACAGTATTGACTCAAAGTTTTAGTGTAAGTGCAGTTTGTAAGAACATGTTGTTCAACAAGGAGAAAGCCAAAAATCTTCCATCGTTGTCAGTGCTTCTATACAAATCCATATGCAAAGCACCTACGGCTGAAAATATAGCAGGGTCTGGTTTGAACTTGCAACACCTTGAAGCTATATACAAGCGTGATGGAGAGGATGGCCTTACAAATACTTTCATAATGAAAAACAGTGAGGGCCAACCGCGTGTTACGGCAGCGAAACGGATTTTAGATTCTGTGATCCCTAAACTAGTAGAGTTTTTCAAAGAAAAGAAACTTTAATTTTGGTGTATGTGAAAATAGTTTAACAACATTGTTCAGTTTTGTTATAAATTGAATGTAACTGTTTAGGTTTTTTTAATTGATTGTAACACAATAACTTTCCATTTTTCTTGTAAGAAATAACATGTACACTTGCATCCTGTATATGTAGTCTTGTAAAAAAACAATTTCAATTTAAGAATTATGTTCAAACATTTATCATATGTAATGATAAAACACTTATAAGTGTTATGGAACTGAGAAAAGTACCTTGTATTTGCAAAAGCATTCACAAATTATTAGTGTTTGATAATATTATAAAATATCTATTGATTGGATAATTATAAGTGATCGGGCATTGGTCTAAATCTGAAATAGTCTAAGTCAAAAACACAGATAATCTGTGTTTATTGGACTTTTTGCTCATGTAAATTATAAATTTTGTCATAAAGTTTATAAGAAAGAGTTATTGGATTGATTAAGACAATTAACTGAAACTTCTTGTGACATAAAAATTTGAAGTTTTTTAGCCTTGGCCAGTAGAATGTAGTTGATATCGAAATCATAAAAAGGCACATTTTCTTCAAATTTCATATTTTTTTGTTTTTAATTTACTTCTAATATAATTCAATTACGCTTAATCTTGTCTGGCAAGTATGCGTATCTTCAATATTTAAGCGGTTAACTTTGCCTACAATTAATAAGTATTGAGAAATTACCAAATATATTTAGCTATTGACTACTGTCCTTAATGCAATGTGAACTTTTTAGCTTATCATAATTGTCAATGATAGAATGAAACGTATGAGCAAACTCAATAAAACTGAACCAGACACGCATAAAATTTACATATTAATTTAGTATTCTCAGATAATTAATGAACAGTTGCAGTCTGTGACAAGAAATTATTGGGAAAAAGCAGAAAACCGGAGAATGATGAGCAATACTTCATATATTGTTATATTAAGTACCCCGTTATTTAATGCAATTACCAAGATAACCGTGTCTTCTTGTTAGGATGTCGAACAGTTGTCTCGGATACAGTAGTACTACTAGCAGTATTGTCACTACTCTCCTGCGCATCGGTCCTGGTAAAATTGTAGGTTCAGACCGATATTTCTAATTTTAGACAGGAAAATCCGTGTCTACACTTCAGCCAATCAGTGACTAGCTTACTTGTAACGAATTGTCACATACCTGAATTTGACGCACCGTAATGTAAACAATGCGTGTTCATTTGTACTTTACTTAAAATTGTTTGTTTTAAACGTTTCTATTAAATGACCAAAATGGTAAATTCGCGATGATATATTGTTTACGGATAGTCAATTGTAATGGAGTCTACGTAAACGGTAGCTCAATACGAATAATGGTCCGCATATTCTGGCTGCAAGAAAGTCCACGTTAGGCCGTTAAAATTATTTTTCTTATATTTTCTCAGATGACCAGTAGCATTTCGACAATAACTCAACCCATCCCCATTCTTATATACATTGCTATATACATGTATGAATAAAGTGGAAGAAGATTTTTCAAGTTTTTACTATATACAAATAAGGAAAATCAATGTCCCAACCCCGGGCGGGGCCAATTTTGACCCCAGGGCTTTTATTTGTACAAACTTGGTAGACACTGACTAGAAGATGTTTCATGCCAAATATTTAAGCTCGAGCTCTTTCGTTTTTTAAGAAGATTTTTTAAGTTTTTTCTTTCAGTTGCCATGACAACCAGAGTTTTGCATGTAATTAAATTCTTTGAACAATTACAATTTTTGAAGTTGACCACCAAATGAACATTCCTGTGAAGTTTGGATGAAATTGGCTAAGAAGTTTATGAGAAGATGTCGTTTAAAGTAAAAGATTACGGACAACAGACGGATGTAAAGCGACCAAAAAAGCTCATCATGTCACTTTGTGACAGGTGAGCTTATTATGTATATGCCGTAATTGGACTGGCATATCGATGTGGTGGTATGTGTGTATATATTCTCTCATTTCTGTAACAACTTATCTGCACACTTGTATCTTAAGTGATCCCACGCAGGGGAAAGTATGACTGTATTGAATTTAATCATCTCCCTTTATATATACTTTATCTATCTAAATTCATTGTATCCTACGGATCTACTTGATCTTACGGGATCCAGTTGACTTTCGGAAATCGATATATAGTTCCCTGGTCCCAATCAGTGAAGAGGACAATAAAAATGTCATCGTTGATTTGTGAGACATGATAACAGAGAACAAACTCTATATATGCGAATGTTGAGCCTGTTTCAATGTGTAGTGCAGTTTGTGACTGTATATAAAGCTGTTCTGAAACCATCATTTATGTGATGGTGGATGAGCAGTGGCTATGCTTTCATGACTGTTTTGCTAGGCGCTGTGTCGTAATAGGACTGGCATATTGATGTGGTGGTATGTGTGTATATATTCTCTCATTTATATATATATATATATATATATATATATATATATATATATATATATTGACCAAATTGCCAAAAGAAGGCGAAACAGTATCTAGGTTTATATGAAGGCTAAATCCTACAAAACAGAATCCATATTATATTGGTCGTAATTATTTAAAGCATTAATCACTTAAGGACAGTAATGTAATTGGGCCTTATTTCTCATGCTTGATTGTAACAATTAAGCTTTACACAGGCTGTTCAATTAAAAGTTTAAAACTTAATGCTAATGCAGATGAATCAAACATTATTAATTTTAAATAAAAATAAACTGGTATTAGAAATTTTTTAGAAAAGTAAAAAAGATACTTTTTATTTCCCATGCATTAATCACCATCATTATCCCTCCGCGTGACTATATAAGGACTGTTTTTGATATTTTACGTTGTTTTTGGTTATTTACGCTGGACATGTACAGTTGCCATTTGCAATGTGTAAAATCTACGTTTTATTTGTTTCACTTAACAATAGTTTAATATTTTTAAACACATTTTGAAAATCTTAATGAAAATTAGCATGAACCTGCAGGCATGCTGCTTTTAGTCTTAGAACACAACATTTAAGAATGACTTTAAATTGTCAGAGCCCTTGAACTTTTCCGACGTAGTGCCTACTACAATTTTGATACCAGGCCATTATCTAACGCTTACACTGCTGAAACCGAGTGATTAGTCTTTGCCAGCAGTATACAGCCAGGCTATTGAGACTGAACAGGCTACACACTGTTGTCTCACTTATTGTTTGATTTTATTAACCTGTCAATTCCATACTAATTACACGGTCAATGCACACAATATATTAATATTCGGAAGATTTTCGATAATTTCCGTGAGATGTACGCAGTGAGATTTGATTTAATAATATAATTTGCAGAACTATGATTGCTTGTTATGTTGTTCGTTTTGATTTAATATGTTTGGTAAAGTATAAACTCTTTTTAACTAACATGCTTTCAGAATTGATATTGATAATTAATTCGGATTAAAATTAGAAAATGTCATTGCAATGGCGTTAAAAACAAAACAAATCGAGACAATATTTTTTAGTTGATTCATATATATTCACATATTCAATATTGGAAGCACTCGGCCATTTCCATGAAAATATACTGCAAAAATAAAGAAAAAGAGTTGGCCTTAAAAAACAATTGCAAAAGTAGAAATCGAACTTCAGACCCCTAATGTATTAGACAATCACTCTACCGTCTGTGCTATCGCGTATTTGACACGGCCTATGCATTAAACTGGTCTGACTTTTCAAAACAGTAGTTATTTACTCCATATTAATTCTCGTAAACTACACGGGCAGAACCGAAGTGAAATCGAATATTTAAATGATGCTATAAGGTCAATAAAATCAGGCTATACTTTAACTTTTCATCCTGATGTATAATGTACCCAAAATGATAATAAACACTTTAAAATATGAAAGCCAGACATGTCCATTAAGAAACTCTACAGGCTAAGGGTTGATATAATTTTGCATCAATGCTTTCATTTTGCCAAACACAAAATCAAATAGGTAAGATCTAAAAGCATTTAAAGAAAGGCTGCAAGTCTTATTATGTTGTCATGAATGACAAATGTCCCATGAATAATTTCATGTTAAAGCAAACCTGTTAGTTCAACCATTACAAGCTGAATTAAAAAATCTAACTTAGGAACAGGAACCATATGCCTGAACAAAAATAATCATGCAGGATTTATGCAGCTTGTTCTATATGATATGGTGCTAATGTGAAACAAATGTCACCAGTTCAAATGCAATAATTTACAATGTAATTATAACATTTCCTGCAGATCAACATTTATTTAAGACTGTGAAAAAATTAGACATAACTCATTGTTAATTAATTAAAGGTGCTATCTCATTTAGGGTAAGCAACAGTAATAACATAGATACTGTAAATACCCTAAATATTCAAATTTATAAAGGGGATAGCATTCACAAAATACTGGTGCCTGGTGTGGGCAGAAAATGAGGTCAACAAAATTCAACATGTTACATCCTTAATGCATTACACAATATCTCAAACAGAAAATTACAAAGTTTCAGAAACAGCTAATTTTAAAATTTATCAAAAATTACAAAATTGTATAAGAAAAGATTTAAATTTCATGGAAAATGATGCCAGAGTTTTAAACCTATGTTTATGTTATAACTTAAAAGATTCTGATTATATAACTGTTTAAAAATTTAAATTGCACATGCACATGTATTTCATATTACCAGTAAAAATAAATTCTACAATTTCCATCATTACATCTTTTTGACAAAGGTCACAACTTGCAGCACCAATACATGTGTAGTTTTCATGAATTTGTCAAAGGATTATGTGTGACAGTGTTGCTTTTTACAAAAATTATCATTTCGGGCAAAACCTAGGCAAAACCTTGACCTGAAATTACACATTATACTATAATTCCATGAGAAAGTGTTTCATCACAACTTAAACTTAATCAATATGTTGAATGCAGGTATCCGATCATATACTGACGGTCCATACTGTACAAGTATTGAGGTCTAACCATATTTCAACATTTTTAAAGGGTGGTGAAGACTTTAAGACTGCTATTTGGCTCTGATTGATGACTTGATTTGATCTTTGCAGTAGTAATATGTCACATAATTCTTCATCCCCAATTTTATTTTTAAAATATATAAAAAAGGTTAAAAAATCCTTATTTTATCTTTTGTAAATGCATGTAAATCACATAAGTCTTTTATTCGTAACATTTACTTCCTACTTTCATATCTACAGATACTTTGATCACTGATTTCTTCTATGTTTTCTGCCTTCAAGTTCAACTGTACTATTTCTAATGGTTATTTTATATATGTACCTAGTACACAATGTTTATTTGGCACAATCTGTTGGACTAACTGTAGCTGTTAGTGCTAGCAAAGCTCTTCAACCCCTGTGAACGCTGGATGAAACACATCTTTCTGGCTTTTTTTGTCATATACCCTAAAAAACAGAAGTTACATTTATTCAATTATATACATGTACATGGTACTGTATATAAGAATTGTACAGTATGAAAACATCATTAATACAGTAACAGTCCTGTTGTTTAAAGAAAATAACCAACTTTATGTTAATAAATGTCAAAATATAGTCCATCGTAATTTCAGAAGAGGAT